AGGGTTTTATCTTTGACACTTAAAGCTCCCATGGCAGAAGGGTAAATGGGCAACCCAGGACACTGGACATTGCTTGTGGAAGATAGCCAAGCTATAGAATACATTTGTATATCTGTTACAGGCAGTGATGGCCATTTTGTTACAGATAAAGCACCAGGAATAGCTTAATGCACTTCTGTTGTATAGATGAACCGGTAATCTGGCTAAATGAGCTTTTTATCTTCACAGTTTCTGTCACTTGAAGTGTCAAATATGTAGAACATTTGGGTGCTACAGGAAAAAGAGCAAGTATTCGGGTAGATATAAGTACTTTTGGATGATGAATATTCTAACCTACAAAAATTTTGTCATTTCCCTAGATAATTTCCTCCTTTTGAAGCCAGTAGCAAACAGTAAATATTGTCTTTGCTTTTTCTGCATTGTCTTGGAATTTACTGTAATGCTTTTAACGTTTCAAGACACAATTTTAGCCAAGGAATCTCAATGAAAAAACTGACAGCTGTCTTAGAATTCTCTCAAAATACTAAAAGCAGGACCATCTCACAGCCAAAGCTACCTGTACATAAGACCCCTTCTCACCATTTTGGTGTGCCTCTCTACAGACTAATTGTATGGCCAGCGCTTTAACCATTGACCTCTTCTCAGGCAAGATGAATGTTTCAGTGTCCGTGTTATCACCTAAGTACAGTCTCTTGCCATTGCACTTCTGCAGCAGGAAGCATTAGTTTAACATGTCAGACAAAGCACCTTGTAGGAATTTACCATCTATTTGGAGACAGTGTAACAGGTACAGACAGAAGAGCTGTCAAGTTTGTATTGGCTCAGTGCTGTGCACACCTCAGAGCGATTTATCTCCACCCAAAATAATGTATGCAGGGGGCATTACGGAGCCAGCACTGAGTCAATGTCAGTCGGCGCCATCCATTTCAGACAGACCTTCCCATATCAGGTGTGCCGAGATGTGGATTTGGGCCACGGCTGCCGTTTTTCACGGGCGCGTTTGCGCCTGCAGGCCTGCGGCACCACGGACCCCAGCTGCCGATTTGGACACCCCCATCCATTTTGCCTTCCAACAGGCCCAAGTGAACAAGACGGTTAAATGTCTGCAGCCTTTCATCTGCTTGCCTTTGCGCCAACTGGGGCTATTTGACTTTGGTAGTGCTTTATTGTTGTTCCCCCGACAGAGAGGTAGTTATGCTGTAATGTTAACTGTGGTCGTAAAGGTCGTCCTATCCTTTGTCTCTGGGGACTTTAGAAGCAGTAATCATCTCACGTGGGACCCTCATTATATCCCATTAACGGCAAGATAAACTCTCCCATAGAAAAGGAGGAAGCTACAAATTAGTCAGGATGTGTTTCTTATACTTCTGAATAATTATTTCTGTAGCCCCACTTGTGTCTGTCCACATCTGGGCTGGAGTGAATAATGTTCACCCCAAACACAGGTGACTGGGTTACAGTGGGTACATTATGAATCTGTTTGGAGGAATACTGTATTGCATCAAAATCTTTGCTATAGCATTATTGCAAGGAATTTAATCTTAATTGGAAATTAATACAAGACTTAAATACGTACACTCGTGTAGGGTTTGTGGCCCCAGTAGTAGAAATGGTAGTGGCTGGCTGACTCAAGAAGATACATATATTATAACATTGCTAGACCATGAAAATTGGTGGTTTAGTTTTCTGGTCATGCTGTCTGTCTGACACCCTAGGGGTTCCCCCATATTGTAACATCTGGCATTGTTGGAGAAGTCCAAACTCATAACAAATACAGGGCATTGTTGTAGAGCTGGAAGTGGACAATGTTGACATTGTGGTGAAAGTGGTTTTGATTTACATGTACATGGAGAAAATTGAAAAAATAACAGCAGGAAGATGTGTGAAATCACGACAATATGATAACAATACGAAAAAGGAAATTATTGTGTTTCCTATATTGGTTATTATTCTTTTAGTTTTACAGAATCTTTGTGAAATATAACATCATGCGTCATACTTTTACATTTGAAACCCAAGGCAACGGAAAACTTTTAAAAGTACCGAAGAAGTTCTGAAAGCATTTTCTCTCGCTGTCTTGAATGCATTTGCTGATGTGGGTTGGAATTGATTCGCCATACTGACATGTTCTTTTTAGATATGTCATCAAATGGTTTTACCTCAAACCTGCCGAAAATATACCCCAGCCTCATGTGGTAGACAAGCTCAAGTTTAGTTCCGTTGCGAGACATTGTATCTGTCACTTCAAATAATGTCTGCCCTTTAGGATGACGCACCCAACTTCAGGGCTATTTCTGTTTATGGGGAATTTTTCAAAGATATTCCACCTACAAACACATGACATGGGTATATAGCTGTAGAATTGATTCTGTGAGGTGACAGGTTTATATGCTCATGAATTCACATGGACACAGTCTCTCTCCCCCAAGACCCAATTCCAGTGTACATGTGACTTACAAGGCAGGCCTTAGGCTTGTGTAGAATCCAAATTCAGCAACTGTTTGAAGATATTGCTCAAGCCATGCCAACCCAGGCTCTCTTCTCTTTGCATAAGTTGTTTCAGATAGAGCCTCCGGGTTATGTTGTATTAGAGAAAGGACACGTACATGTACATGTATATCAGCCACATCATCATTTCTTTTCCCTTGAAGAAGAAAGGCCTTCTGCAAGATTTTAATGATTGATAGAAGTTCTCTTCACCCTATCTGTGAACTCTGTAGGGTAATGATGCATGTTTTGTCTGTAGAATCTGACAATCCTATTTGGGTTTCTTCCTCTGGCAAACAATAGATCAAAATCAACCTTCTTCTGTTGATGCCTCCCTGCAGAATGCACACAGAGGATGGAATGGATTTCTTTTCCCCCTTCGATGATGTCTTTGTCATATGAATTATTTATTGGGTTTGGCAGTTAGTTAGGCATATACTCACACATGTATCTAGGTAAAAGACATTAACGTTCACTTAGTTTTGTAATTCCCCACCTACATTTGTATATGGGTTTTTTTTACTCTACTGAATACAGTTTAGTTCTTACATTTTACAGACTGTCTGCTTGAGGTCTGATTGAACGCACAAGGCACCAAAGACTGTGCAACAAGTCGTATACATTATTTAATGTATAACTCATGCCTTTCCTGACAGAGTACAGGGGAAGTTTGGATCTTTTGGGGCACAGTTGTATTCCTACTAGTAATGTCTTTATCTATCAACGTGCCCGTATGTAGAAATGGCATATGAAAAGAAAACCCCCGTAGCCACAGGTAACATGTCAGCAATGATTAAGAGGCTCCTTGCAGCAGGTCTGGAATTAAAACAGGAGAGGAGTGTGTTTTCTCCCTGATTACAGTCAGATCTGGGATTACCCACGGTTATCTTGCCCTACTCTGCAGCCTGGGACCAAAAACCCTCAGCAGCGCTCCCTTTTGCTTTACCTGCATGCCTCTAGACAGATCTTTCCCAGTGTTGAAACCCTTACTGTTTTATTTACCAATCTGTCAGTGCTGATTCCAGTCAGCTGTATGTAACGGATTAGATAAGGGAGAAAGATATGTCAGGATTGGGAAAAGACGTCAGCAAAAGGCCCCAGGGTTTTCTTGTGCCCAACATCTGTAGTCGTGTGTCTGAGCGCCCTCGGCGGTGCTTACGGTTTGTTCATCAAGCTTGATACCGAAATTTGTCATGTTTGTTACTGCATTAATGCAAACGGCAGGTTGGGGAATTTATGGGGGTGGAATATGACAAGTCTAAGTAGGCCAACTCTTGCCTTCAGGTGAAACCATGCTACATCAGTAACCTGTAGGTAACAGACTCCTTTCTGCTAATCTTTAACCTTCAACATGCAAAGGCTGTCTTCAAGTAGCAAATTTGTATTGCATACTGTACATATCAGTAGTGAAAGGGTTAAGATGTTTGCACAAAGTGCCTTAGTTCGTGTATAGCACACATGTTGCATTTAGCTGCAATTGTTCACTGGCAGAAGTTGAAATTCAGCACTGGTAACATAACGTGAAATATTCCCTGCACTCGTGAGATCAATGCTTGATTGCAAGTGCATGGAAATTTGTGATTGAAGCTGTTTTAATGACACTTGCCAATACTCTCCATCAGAACTTCAATTTCATGTTTCAGTTGAAATGCTGTCTGAATCATTGAAGTTTAATGCGCAAATTGTTCATGTAATGAGTCTCCAGCCTCAGCAGCAATCACAAGAGTGATATGGAGCTACGACTTCTCTGCCCATTTCTTTTTTCCATCATCCAAGTGTTGTGAAAACTATTGTTACAGCATCAGTCTTCCAAGGGCCAACTTGTATCTTGCATTTATCTCCCACAGATATATGCAGTTGACATTTTCTTTCAACAAGATATGGAAATATATTACCAGGGCCGAAGCCCACGTTTTCTTTGGCCTTAGGCTGGCTAGATTCACTGAAGAAGAGATAGCATTTTCACAACCAATGTTGTCAGGGCGGCCGTTTGTTTTGTCCAAGAAGAGGAATCTAACCTATCAACTCCTCCCACACTAGATTTCATTCCATGATATTAGATCCACCTGTCATCAATGACAAGTAATTTTTCTTTTTATGAGCTCCAACGTTCATAAATCAGTGACAGGCAATGTTAGATCTTGTCCCTGACAATGTGGTATTTGGAAACAATACTTATCATTCACTACAGGTACCATATAATTTTTTGGAGAAAGTTTCAACTTGAATTATTCATAGTTTTGTTGATCTTTTGAATGGATATTCTCCTAATTTATTTGTTTACCTGAAACTCATTTTGGAAACACTTAATTTATTCAATGGATGAATACTGTACTATAAATTATACAGAATATATATCATTATGATAACAAATCTAGTATTATTTTTTATTAATATGAAATGTTTGGTTAAAATTATTTTTTGATGGATTGCCAAGGTATGTCAAGCAATAGTAGATATTGTTGAATATGTGCTCATCATGAGGGATTGTTTTTGTTGTTGTTGTTCTATAGATCCTTGGGCGACAGGACGGTGTCCAACAGGACTGGGTCATAGAGGACTGCATCGGCAACTGGTGGAGACCCAACTTTGAACCCCCACAAGTAAGTCATGCCTCAGGGTTCACCAAGTTTGTACTTAGGCCACAGCAAGTAAATCTTATGGATGACATCCTCCGCAGACTTCAAATCTAATGCGATAGGGCTAAAAAAACAAGGCGGGCCAAAAAAAACAAGATTTCTATATTTTCAAATTTTGAGATCATAAACCTTGTTAAACATAATTTTTTTGATTCATTGGCAACATCAGGCGAAAATCAATACGCACGCTGATGTCATCCATAAAAATTACTTGCTGTGCCCTTTAACAATTTATTTCCTTGATTTTCTGACACTAAATACAAATCAAGCAAGAGAACAAGATAGGAACAGGGCATGGAAAAATTGACTACTACTAGTATATTGACTCCCTGAAACTGACTGCACCAAGGCATGAATTTTGTGTCCTCAAGATACATATATTTTAATATTAAGCTTCCACTTTAGAATTGTTTTCGTACATATGAGGAACAAAAAATTAAATTTGTATGGCCCAAGAACAGTGTATTATATCAAAACATTGTACGTTGTAAGATTAAAGCCTGTACGGGAGACAGAAATGATTGTAATGTCAGACTAATTGCAACAGCCATTCCTTAAGTAATCATACCGGTAATTATGCCATAGTTATCTGCCAAGACGGCGAACAACAAAATTAATGCTTCCCATAAGAGAAGCAACAATTATGCAACAGCAATCTGTGCGAAATATTCTGCTATACTGCAAGAAACTAGTTCACACATGAAAATTTACTGAGCAGATACGGACAGGAAAATATTTATTAGTTTGAAGAATGTAATTGCTCATAACTTCACATTTGTCTAATATCATTTCCAAGCACTCCTGTGCTGTGATGTAGAACTTATCGTGACAGAGTTACAATGTTTACAAAGATATTGCCTGCCTAAAACTCCAATAGATCATTCTGTGGAAGTTTGAATTACACACACCTTTCCAATTGTTGTATTTTCAAGATGCATGTAATGATGTACATGTAATTTGTGGACATAGTGGGATTTGTGTTGATGTGTATTTTACTCCTTGCAGTACCCATACATTCCTGCACACATCACCAAGCCAAAAGAACACAAACGATTGTTCCTAGTGCAGCTTGCAGAGAAAGGTAAGCTATAACTCTTTTTTTTTTTAAATTATGATATTTTCCATGTATTAGCATTACCAAAATGCACAATGTTTCTGAAATGTAATGTTCTAATATGACATTCACACATCATTACAGTCACATGTATGTCTAATACCGATACACTGTTTTTCAATAACAAGTTTACTGGTAGCTAAGTCAGAGGCTGTGCCCAAAAATATTTGCCCATGCCATGGTCAATACATGTATATTGGTGACATTTTCCTGGAGCTTGTATTAGCCGATATCTTGTTCTGAGGCATTTCTTATATAGTGTAAGGAAAAATCCATTTGAAAAGTTTATACCAGTGACCCCTTATCTGAACTAGACAGAAGATGTCATGGTCTATCTCTTCTGCTCATGGGGTGTACAAATGTAATACATGTACATGTAGGTCTTCATTTTCAACAAAATAAAATCTTGATTTCAGTGTCTCCTTTTCATGATTTAGATAAGTTTGCAAAACCAACATTGGTAACATGGTTCGTCTTATAAATGTATGAAACTGCTAGTAACCACATCAAGAGTTTTGCAAAGTCAACTCAAAGGATTGTTGCTCTTGAAATAAGTACTGCCGGTAGTATACAGCTTTAAGGAAAAGAAGTAAATTTTCAAAAGTGAACAACCCTAAGCTTGTCCAGCCTTACATGAGGTTGAGTTGATACAGGATTTTGCACATTGTGTAAAATACATGATATTGCAAGTCTTACACAAGAACTTAAAGCATGTACGTGTGTTTTTATGACTCACATTATTTGTAACTAACAGTAAATGAAGTCATTCCAGACTTTTGATAGTACTGTTTTGGAGGTAAAGTTATCACCAGGTAGACAAACATTTGATGGTTTGGATTAAGTGTTACAATGTACACACTGCACCAGAATAATTTCATTGATGTCAGGAACAATGATTTGATTCAGTCTGGAAAATTTTGCAGATGTTCTTGTTCTGTCTGTTTACTCTGTTATTGATTTGAGGTCAAGTTACAAAGTCAGTGTCTTATGGAACAGCTTTATGAAATCAGATTCCGTTCTAAAAGTGGGGAAATTATACAAAGTTTGGATGCCAAACTTTGGATATCTTCCCCAAGGACACATGGTGTATAATGTATTCATAACATCAAAGAGTTCTAACTGGATTTCAATGGTGCCAAACAATCGCACCTGCCTTTGGTAATGAAGTTTTATTACCTTCATTAAGACCGCATAATTCTTAGGGTTGGGTACATGTGCGACAAAGGAAGAGGACATTAGCTCCATGATTGGCTCTAATAAATAAATGACAAAGATGCACCTTAAAACACACCCATACCCTGTGTCCTGGGAGAGCCTCCATTGTTTGGCATCACAGGAGGCTGATGGGATTTTTTATATTCATGCCAGTGAAAATGCCAGGAGACTTTCTCCATTGTCTGGGCTGGATGGATGGTTGACAGGACTTGTATATCGTCGTGCTGTAAACATTCGGGTTGTCCATCATTATGACGGAACAGGACAGCTTTCCTTATATTCATGGCTGGTAGAAATACCAGGAGACCCGAAGCATTGTTATCCTGGGATGAACGGTTGAGGGAATTTGTGTACACTCATACAACAATATTATGATAAGGTGGCACATCCGGCAATTGGGTGTTAATAACCAATTTAAGAATAATGGGCAAATGCAGGTGCGGATGCACGTCCTGGAAAAAATACAATTGACTAGGCAGTAAGCCTGTGACCATAAAATCAATTCTGATATTTTTAATGGTCGTTGCATCGGTTATTTTCCTGTGTCGTGTTTTACTACTTGCATGACACGGTGATAGATGATAGCATGTTGCAACAGTATTGTAAATAATGTGTTTACCGCCAAACATGGAAACACATAAACATTAGACAATATGGGTATGTCAACACAAAGAAAACTTGCAATATTTCATGCAGTTCTTTGTTTCACAGTAAGATTCATATCAACAAGATTGGAGAATAAAGAAACCAAAAGACTTCTTTGTTTATTTGTCTTGTATACTGAACCATGGTCATGCTAGCATTGTTTTATGTAAATTTGTAAAAATGAATGGTTCTGGCTCCATTGAACTTGACATTGGCAATAATAGATGTTTTAAACTTACTCACCAGCTATTATTTCCGAAGGAAAGAAAATAACAGACTCCTTTGTTTATTTGTCTTGTATACTGAACCATGGTCATGCTAGTATTGTTCTACATAGATATTAAAAATGAATGGTTCTGGCTCCATTGAACTTGACATTGGCAATAATAGATGTTTTGAACTTACTCACCAGCTAATTATTTCCAAAGGTACCATTGCTATAAAAAAGACAAAGGGGACAAGAGGTCAGACATCATGTCATGTAAAGAGTGGCAGAATACATGACCCTCTGTGCCACTGTGTGACATTCCCCAGATTTCTAAATGTGTGTCAACTTGGGCTCAAGCCAGATCATGTTTTGACAAACCCTGGGTAATGCGAAGGCTTTCAAACTGTTACCGACACTGTATTAATCATCTGTCTTGCCATCGCTGTGTCAATGGCTTGTTGATGCCCGGCATGAGTTTGCATAATTAGCAAAGATTAGTCCATGATTAGGGAGTAATTGCCTGGACTAGAGATACACCTGTCTGCAACAGGTGGGCTCACCTGGAGGGACAGGTGGTCATAAGTTTACGATATGTAAATCCCAGGTGGATTGAAGTAAACTAATAGAACATGTCATTGATACGTGTATGCAAACAAACTAGAGGTATTGGTGTGAAACTCTCTAATACTCAAATTTTGAAAGTAAAAAATATACATAATCTCACAAAAATTAAACTTATGATGGCCAATGAAACATAAATGAGTGTTTCACTTTTGTTCATAACACAAATGGAAAAAGAAAATCCCTTAAATAACATGAGATGTGGGACATTTCTCTTAACATTTCTCTAAACAATGGTACTTTCATATTGTATTCTTGATTATATTTTCTGCACCTGTATCTTTAGTTTTTTTTTAAATGTTGGATATATCCACACAGATTCACTTCAGATGCAGAGTTGTAATGAAACCTCAGTACTTACAGTACTCAGTGAGTCATTAAAAAGTTTGTTGTTACCTGGCATTATTTCAACTGATATTCCATTCAAATTTTCACTTTATACATAAATCACGTCATTCTTATGGAAATCGATGAAAGTCATCATTTATTGGCAAGCACCATCCAAACGTGACTCAAAAATTTGTCTTTGTGAACATCCCAGCTTTCCCTCCCTGAAAGCGCCGTCTGTAATAGCATTAAAGCAAAATCCACTTTACTTTTCACTGACAGTACTCATTTGTGTTCTGACAAAACAAACGACAATGTCATTATGCAGATTTCTGCAGAATCTGGGAGCCCGCTCGTTTCTCCCTTTCTGTGGGCCGTTCCCCGAGGAGGGGTCGTCCAGGTTAATGGCTACAGATGTCAGCAACAGGCAGATGGGCCTGTCTCACACTATCAGCCACCGATCCTCTCACCGCTGCCGTCAGCAGCGGCGGGGATTTACCAACTTCTAGTTCATTTCACAGATGCCAGGTTACAAGTGAATCCAGGATTTGAAGAAAAGGGTTGGTACGCACTACGCTGAGCTGTGCATCACTCTGGGTACCCGCAGGGGAATCCGCGGGGCAAAGCCTTTAGCAGATCCCAGGTTTCCAGACTATGCTAAGTGCCAGGAGTGCTGTTTTCGGGTCAAAGGAGGCTGTTGAAAACCCTTTCAACCCCTTAGAATTGGCCAGTGCACGTCAAATTGAATTTTGCTTGAAGTTGACCATTGGGACAAGGTATTTAACATCTGCAGGTATGACTGAAAGGGGGCACCGGGAGGTAGGGCAAGTCATTGAAACAGCAAGCAGATAAAAGCTGTGCAGACATAAGGGAAAACACTTGTGATGCTAGACACAACTTACCCAGTCTATATTCAGCCTTTCTAAGCCCTATTCAAAAGCAAGTACCCATCTTGATGGAGCATGCTGAAAGATAATTTTTCAGAACTTTTGCTGCTACAAATCAAGACAATACTTATTGAGTACTGAATGTATTAGTACAACATTAAGGCCCACAATTGTGAAATGGCATTGTATAGGTAGGATCACTGACACCAACTTTGTTCTCGAAGTACCACTTACATGTATTGTGCAAGAGGTACCTTCAACTTCTGTGTAAAATGATCAACTAAGTCTTGAACAGTAAACAATGATGTCCACAATTTAACATTGATACATAGTTTGGTTCTTCACAGTGATGAGTAAGAGGGCAAAGAGAAGTTCATTGATTAAGGTAAACAAAAGGACGACTGATGAAGTGAAGCTAACAAACATTATCAAATCACTGAGTATTCAGTTCTAGTTACATCCGCACAAATCATAACTCACAAGGGGCCTTGTCAAGTTCGTTATAACTAATGAAGGGTTAGTCAGTACAAAAATGTGGTTTTGTGTCCAATTGTCAGACTGGTGATAGTTACGTCAATATTGAACACCCCTTTACAAATAGAGATTGAGAGACAGGTCAATAATATTTCTGTTTTCATATTCTCTCATTAATTGTGATTCATCTTTTTTGTACTTTCATAGATGGAGCACCAAAGTGAACAGATTAGACAGTGTTGGACAATCTTTCAATTGGCAGAAAATGCTCAAACCACTAAAACAGGAACAAAGAAGTGTTGTTGCTGCAGAATATTCACTCAGTTATACCAATTACTCTGCATTGATGACTGGTTGAGTTCTTTCCATTTACTATATATAGTTATATGTCAATTTCTTAACTTAGAGGCTGCAAGAAAGAACATACAACTACATCAAGCTTCGTTGCCATGTTTTGGCAATGCTGTACAAAACAAGGTCTTCCTGCATGTGGCAACTGTAGGCTGCCATTCTGTAACAAATGCATGTGTTTTAGTCCCAGAATAGATGTGCTCGTACTGCTATCTGTAGAGGTGGCTGACCCGTGCACA